TGTGGCGCCCTAAGGTGATTGGTTGAGGTTTAAGGAGTGAGGTGTAAGGCTAGGATGTTGTATAAGGAGAGATCTAAGGGTAATGAGGGGCTACTAAGGTTTGGATGGTTGAGATTAAAGGTTAGGAGAGAGTGAAGGGTGGAGATTTGATAGCCTAGGGCAGGTAGGGTTTGTTAGAGGTGAAAAGAATGAGTGGGGAGGCTCTTTAGGGTTTGCTAAGGAGAGGGGAGTATGCTAATACAGTAGAAGGGGCGCCTATCTAGGTTTTGCAGATAGAAGGCGCCCTCCTGTTCCCAGTTTTTCATAGAAACATCCCATCTCTCAGTTGGAATTCACACCAGCTTCCCAAAAAACTATATTTCAGCCCTGAAACTTCCCCAGTTTTCTCTAGGATTTGCACATGGATCCTCAGAGTTCACAATATTGAATTTAAATAGGAAAATGACACATTTTGACTATTCTAAAACCTAAAATACCCCTGAAATAATGCACTTATGGCATCAAAATAAAGAGTTATCAAGGCAGGTATAAGCTTTTAGATAAGCACTTTTTGAATAAAGGCTTATTAAGCTATTGAGCATTTGGTTTGACATTCTTAAATGGGATTTTTACTTATAAATAAAAGGTTTCTCCAAAATGCAAGTTAGAAGTTGTTTTCAGCTTTTTTTTTTTGTGAAAAGCACAAAAAAGTGTTTTTCACCAAATGTTTTGTGGCTTTTTGATAATGTTTTTGACTTCTATATGCAAAAAATAAAAAAGAAAAAAAAAAGGAATACTCGATCTCAAAAGGAGAAACTTAGTCTAACCCCTTCAATTTCTTCTCCAAGTATTTTCATTTTCCCATTGTGACCAACCTTCCATTGAATAGACTAACATTCCCATGAGTCCAACCTTCCTCCTGCTTCCCTTGAATGATAGCTATATGGATCTACAGTCTTACCTAACTGTAGCCATTCCCGATACTTGATCCAGCCATCCATTTCACAATGTTTAATTATAACCAAGGTTTAAAGTATTGACATGTATTGGCCCGTATTGACCAATACGTATCGATCCAGGACCCCTCTAATACGCCCCTATAGTGGGTGTATCAGAGGTCTAACCGGTTTAGGGGGTGGAGGAGACCTAAACTTGCCCCCCTAAACCAGTTTCGAAAAAAAATAAACAAAATGGTATCGATTTGCCTGATATGCCCCTACCGATATATCGGGCATATCGATATTTTGAACCTTGATTATAACAATATCAAGTATCTTTAATTCTTTCCTTAGGAAAAGTGGGTTTCTCAACTATGCAATAATCTCCATGTGCAGTTCAGAATTGGGTAGCCTTGTTTTAGTTACCTGTTTATTGGTATTCTTTGTTTAGTCACGAGATTGAAGAGGATAGGTAGGAGGAAATATGGTTTCAACTAGAAAAGAGAATTCCTAATGTTTTGAAAATATAAGGGCAAAATTGATATTTTGAAAGTATTTGGAATGAGTTATCAACGATTTTAAATAGTACACTAACACTCATCCTCTTTATGTTATGTGGGGCCGGTCAACAAGGCATATACAACTACACAAGTTGTATTTGAAAGTTCAAGATATATATATATATATATATATATATATATATTAGTTTTAAGTTTTTAACAAAAAAGTTTGGAGGGGCCAAAGACCACTCATGAATATACTTGGTTCCGCCCTTGAATGGGACTTAAAATGGCAATTTTCAAGAATTTAGGTACTACAATGCACGTTTTAAGGTGCTAATATGTTAATATGCAATTTATCCTTTTTCTTTGTCTTTTAAGGAAATAATAAACGCTTATTAGGCATTGCAAGGAAGTGCCGCAAACATTACTATCAACATCTACAAGAAAATGATCCCCATACCAAGTACGAGACCAATATTCTATTTTTTATTTATGTATTCATAAAATTTGTTTGACATCTATTTTTTTAGGTTGTAAATTTACGTTATTATTTTATTTGACTTTTATGTATAGATTTGTTGTTTAATTTAAGAGATTAAATCAGATTTTATTTTTAAGGCCCCATTTGTTTGCCGGTATTTAGCAGGGGATAAATTATTCAACCAATAAATTGACCACGATCCCCATGTTAATTTGCCATCATATTGGGTCCCACAGTAACTGAAGATACTGGAGAGTGTCAACTACCTCCTCCTACAAGGTGGCTAAGCAACTTATCCATGCACCGGTAATGCTTTCTCTCTCCTGCCCCTCTTTTCCCAGCTAATTAACTTGTATCACACATAACATTGGAACCTCGTGTTGATAAAAAAAAAAAAACATTGGAATCTCACTTAATTCAGGCAAGTTTTACCTATGAAACACTTGCTCAAGTAAACATACTTATCTAGGTAAATATGAATAAAACGGAACCTAAATAACAACCCACTTTATGAATTTTACATCAATTGAAATGAATTTTTATTTTTACTTTTTTAGTGGAGATAACCACCCCTAACTTTTATGAAAGTGGAGGTAACTACAATTTAAGTTGATAGATATATATTGAAGGAAAAAAAGCTTTTATTTGAGAGTGGAAATAATCAATTTTAAAATAATTCTCTTGAGAAAATAACATTTAATTTAAGTAGATAAATATGTATGGGAGGAAGGGAAATTTTATTTAAGAGTCCAAATAACCAAATTTGAAATGATCTTCTTGAGAAAATAATAGTCAATTGTCTTAAGAAGTAACTCTCTAGTTTTAGGATGTGTTGCATATATTAGATATTTATAGTTAATAGCACTTAATAGTTCCATATAATTACTCTCTTATATCTATACTTAGGGGTGTCAATAGCATTCAAAAATTTGATTTTGAATTCGAGATTTGACATAATCGAATCGAATTTGGATAATTCGAATATCTAATTGGTCAAATTCGGATATCCTATTCATACCAAACAGTTAATCGGATTTGAATTCGGATATGATCTGTTCGATTCGACAAATATCTGAATTCGACCGATTATTTAATTTATATATATTATATAAAATTTTTAAATATTTTTATATAATTTATATATAATAATTAAATTATAAATAATTTACATATTTATATACTTTATATAAATAAAATATTTATTTTATATATTTATTAATTACCTAAAATAATTAATTAGTCAAATTCAAATCGAATACTCGAATATTTAATTGGATTCAAATTCAAATATTAATTTTCAATATTCGTTGGATAGCGAATCAAATTCGGATATCAAATTTTTTAATTGGATTCAAATTCGAATATTGCTTGAGTCGATTCGAATTCGATCCATTTACACTCCTATCTATACTACTTTAACAAGTATGAAAAGTCTCATTAATATTTCTGGAGTTTTTTGAAGACAATATTTGTCCTTCCATATTTAAATTTATTGATAAAAAATGAGGGCAAAAAGGGAAATCAATTATTAACATTAAATAAGTTGAAAAGAGACAATTATAAGATATTCAATGCATTCAATTTGCTCTCATTAAATCCAACACTTAAGGTATTAATTTGCATTCACCTTTATTGAATCATATATTAAATGCATCTTTATTTTTTCTCATCTTTAAATTTTATTAATTAAATCCATGCATAATAAATTAATAATTTCAATAACATAAAACATACTTTTAAAGTCTACCTAAAAAACTAGTGTATTCATATAGACAATGATAAGAAATTAAACCATTTTGGGTCAAATGGGCCAATCCATGTTGTCATAGTTAAATAATAAAAATCAAAAATAGGTAAAATGCAAAAAATATAGGAATTCAAAAAATTGGGAACATTTTTAACATCATATGTTCGGCATATTAAATAATAATAATTATGATAAATAAGAAATGTTTTTATTAATGATAGAAATGAAATATAAAATTTAAAACCAATTAGAAATAAAACTATTTTCCTATTCTCTTTCATTAAATTCATATGCATGTATATTTTCTCATTAAATCTACAAAATTAATTTTAATATTATAAAAATAAATATTTTGAAAAATAATTTGAAAACAAAACTATTTCCTTCCCTCCCAATGGTGGGCAAGCAATTCAACCATTATGGGTCAAATGGGTTAATAAATAATGTCATATTTAATAACAAAAAATAAAAAGAATTGGACATATCTCTAATATTGCATATTCATTATATATACTAAATAAAAATACATATGAAATGTAAAGTAATTTTGTTAATGATGAAAATGGAATGCCAAAGTTAAAATCAACCTATAAATGAAATGATCTCATAGTCAAATAATACAAATTTTAAAAATAGAAAATATAAATAATAACAAAAAATAGAAAAAGATTGGGCATATATCTAATGTTACATATTCATAAAAATAAATATTGGATACATCTATAATATTATACATTCATTATCAATGATTGAAATGTAATATAAAATTTAGTGGCAACCTAGAAATCAAATTATTTTCCTTTTTGGGTTAGTGGTTTAGGTCAAATGGATTAACGAATAATATGATAGTTAAATAATAAATCTTTAAAAAATAAAAAGTACAAGTAATCAAAATAATATATAAAAAAATATATATTAATTACGTTAAACAAAAATTAAATATAATAAGTAAAAATTATTTATATAATGTAGATGATATATAATTTAAAACAAATCCAAAAGTAAAGCTATTTTCTTATCTAGGTGGTGGATTGATAATCTAACTTTTCAAAGAAGCTCATGATATCATAATTGAATAATAAATATTTAGAAAAGATAAAACACAAATAATAAAAAATACAAAATTCGATCGCATTTGGTAACATGTATATATATTCATCATAATAAATAAAACTAATTGTTAAAATAAAATTTATTTTTATTTATGGCAAAAATTAATAGAATACAAAATACAACAACAAAATGACTAATATGAAAAGAATTTCTCACGTGAAATTTAATTAACTACTGGTCCATCAAAATATACAATAATTAATTGATTACTCTCCCATCAACATGACGATTGCATTGGATCTTCGGCCTTGTTTGTGATCGTCACCATATCAACCCCATCGTCTTCAGTTCTGAAACTCTTGGTTTGGTTGTCTAAGCATCGCCTATTCTAGGGTTTTGAGATCTAAACATCTCCGATGGGGGTTGTGATCGAGACCGTCGTGTGGGAACCAAAACCTCTCTTGCATATCTTCCTCTTCTGCTCCTCTTTCTTCTGTGTCTTCCTTCTCCCCTGTATGTCAACGATCTCTAACAGAACTTCCACTTACCTCGATCTTGATTCCTTTTCCACCTCGATCCCAGCTTCATTTCTTCGTTTCCAGAGAAGTTTCCTGCTCGTATATTCCCTTGCTTCAGGTCAGTTATTTGCATTGTTCTTCACTTCCTTCTATTAACATTATTTGGCCCCTGTTCTGGTAGCCTTCAATCTTTCATGTTTACTACAATTCCTACAATGGAGAGGGATTGGATTGACATTATGAATAAATTCTTTGTTATCTTTTTTTTTTCCAGTAATGGAAGGTCTGGAGTCCATATATGGGGAGTTTGAGTATGCATACTATGGTCTGAGCAAGGAGCACATGGTGGTATCTCTATGCGCTGGATCCGTTGCTTCTCTCCTCATCGGCACTTCATTGGGCATACTTTCTGATATAATGTAAGTGATCATATTTTTCTTCTTTTCCTGAGATTTTAATTGCAAGTGCTATGTCCGGTTCCTGTAATTTTTGGAATGACATTAGGCGTTTTTTTAATAAACTTGGAGCGACATGAATTTGGGATTGTAGTTTCAAACTTTAAGATTTTATCTTTTTTACAAGTTACTTAGCTATTACTGAACTTCTACATGATGAGATGTCACTGTATTTTCCTTCAAATAGATTATGATAAAATGATAGAACTCTTATCTCAAATAGATGGCACAACTTCTGAGGTTGGTCTCATTTGGCTTACCATGCACATGAATTCTTTTGGTCTGAGCAAACTTTCCTTCAAATGGATAATGATCAAATGATGGAAGTATTGTCTGAGGTAGCTGAAGCAACTATGTTAAATTGGTTTACTATGCACAAGTGTTCTCTTCCTCTGCTACCAAATTTTATATAAGTTGACCCATGTTTCAGTAATCCTTGATTGTTTTTTTCTAATCAATGTGCATGAGTTATATTGAAAGAAAGCGGACCATTAATTATCAAAAAAAAAAAGAAAGAAAGCGGACCATTTATGAGAACATATGGGCATTGAGGATGTTCTTTTGTACATATTGTAAGATCATTTTTCCAACCTGATGGTTAGGTCGTGAAGGAGAAATTTCTTATTCAAGTCCTTTTGATTGTTCATTTTTCATGCCAATTTATTGTGCTCATTTTCTTAAGAAAATCTAATGGTAGATTTTTATATAACTTGTATGCAGAGGTCAAAGGAAAGTCTGTGTGCTATTTTGCTTCCTTCACCTCGTGGTTGGCTTCTGGAAGAGTGTTAGCAGGCATCCAAGTGTTTGGATGGCAAGCATATGTCTGTCTCTTGCTTCTTCCATATTTTCATTTGGTTTTGAGACATGGATGGTAGTCGAACATGATAAGGTTTGCCTCAAAAGCTTTATTCTTCAGTTTTGCATCATTACTAGGGATTCTAGGGATATAATGATTTTGGCAGGCCATTCACCATCTCAAGATAGAAAGCAACTTAAGTCTTTGATGATGCTACCGGTGCATTTGCATGGTTGGCATCCTCTCTCTCTCTCTCTCTCTTTCACACACACACACACATGTTCTCATACTAGAAGGTTGCCACATATTATTTATCAAAGAAAAAAGTTCGCACTTCACTCAGATATCTAGATGTTATCTCTCAGTTCTCTTTCTTTAATGCATGCTGTCTTTCTTTGCAGCTAGGCTACAGGAAGGATTTATTGAATGACACCTTTTGGCTAATGGCCTTCTATGAATCTGCCTCTCTTATTGGAAGTCAAGCGCTTGCAAATTGGCTTATCGGTGGTAATTTGAAGAGAAGTGTTACTTTTCCTTCTACTGCTATTGTGTTCTTGTCAACAATGAGTATTATCTATATAATTAGGCAGTGGAAAGAAAGCCCACCATTAACAGCCATAGAGGGCTATAAGGCATCCATCTCTGCATGCTTTCGTGGTGGTAAGGATTGTATATCCTCTGAAAGCTTTGTCATTCTTTTTTTGTTAAAGCAAATTAAAAGTTGCAAATAGTTGAATTTGGGGATTTTCTTTGTCTCATATTGTTTGTCATTTATAGGGACTTTTCTCTGTATGGTGCCAATGGAAAGGCAGTATTGGGAAAAAAACTAAATATATGAGACCACAAAGCATTAATAACTATCTCCATAAGGAATATTTTTTTTCCCTTTCCAAACAAGATGGTACCCAACTTCAGCTTCAACCATCGAGGAGCCTAGAGCCTCCTTGGAAGCTTATTCACTAAAAGACAATGCAATAAGATTTTGAGTCTAGCCTCTTAAGCTGTTATCAAGCAACAGGTATAAGCAAATACTAAATATATTTTCTTTGACAATTATATGAAAACACTAAATAGTAATCATGATATAAATTTCTTAAAAGAGTATGAACTTCCTATATTTTTTGTGTGACATAACGTTTTGTAATTTATTCAATTGGAGGAACTTGGTATACTGTTTTTGTTCTATCATCAACTTGGCATATTGCTAATCTATATAGCACTTACATATCCTAACAAGATTCCGACTTCCTTCCCTTTATTGGAACAGTTGGCAATAGCACCTTACTCTGAGTTAGGAATCCTGTTGCGTTTTCACCATGGAAGGAAAGACCTAGCAATAAATATTACATTAGTTTTTCCAAGTCTTCATCTTTCTTTTCCTTTTCATGACTCCATTGTCTTTCTTTTCTATTCCAATTCTCTCTCAACTCTTCCCTTCCATGACCACTCAATTTTGTGATTCCTCTGTTTCAATGCAATTGGAGTTCCCTTCCTTGGCTCTCTGTTCCTTGTTTTCTCTGGACTTTCCTTTCTCATGCTATTGAGTTTTCTTAGTATCCCAAGACACCCTTTTATACTTGTACCATAGGCTTTATTGCAGCTAGAAGCTCCTTGTCCTTTCTTTCCACTGAGCTTCTTATAAGATGTGAATGTTATTTTGGCCTCCAAGAGAGTTTAGTGAGAGGGGGGTTTAGCTATAAAATATAGCAATGCTCTGATGTGGAACAATGATGCAAACATGGACAAAGGGAAAGAAGAAACCCTGGAGAGAGAAAGTACTAGATCTAGGAGAAGCTTGGTAATGGGGACCACAGACCACTTGACTACATAAAGGGTCCCCTGGGCACAGTAATGTCAAAATCTTGAAACTTTAGAAAAATGGAACTTCTCAAATTAGAACATGAGGGATATTTTGTAATTTCTGTTTCTTTTTTTAGTGGGCTTTGATCAGTTTATTTTATTATTGTAAACTTCTCACAAAACTAATTTTAGTATTATTCTTTGGTATATTGGGTTTCCCCCTTGGCCATAGTTGAAAACAGTCCTCTTGAAGTATAGAACTGCTTGAGATTAGATGCAAAACCAGAAAAATGAACAAGAGAAGATTAAGAAGTTGAGAGAGAGAGAGAGAGAGAGTTGGCGGCAATGAGAGAGTTAGAGAAGAGAGGTTCGAACTTAACCTCACTCTAACACTCTAAATCATTTTATTAAGTTAATCTTTGGAATATTACAGAGAGGCCCTTGGATGGGCAAGAAATTACAAAGACAGAGTATATAGGAGTATGGGCTCAGAATAAGGCCCATTACAGAGAAAAACATAAACAAAACATAACATAGAATGACAGCCTATGGGCCATTCGGCCCATCTCTACACTCCCCCTCAAGCTGAGCATAGATGTTAATCATGCCCAGCTTGCCAGTGTCATGTTGAAGCCTTGCTCTGGAAATACCCTTGGTGAGGAAATCTGCCAATTGTCCTTCAGAAGCAATGAATGGAAGACACACTTCACCGGAGATGGGCCGAATGGCCCATAGGCTGTCATTCTATGTTATGTTTTGTTTATGTTTTTCTCTGTAATGGGCCCTATTCTGGGCCCATACTCCTATATACTCTGTCTTTGTAATTTCTTGCCCATCCAAGGGCCTCTCTGTAATATTCCAAAGATTAGCTTAATAAAATGATTTAGAGTGTTAGGGGGAGGTTAATTTCGAACCTCTCTTCTCTAACTCTCTCATTGCCGCCAACTCTCTCTCTCTCAWCTTCTTAATCTTCTCTTGTTCATTTTTCTGGTTTTGCATCTAATCTCAAGCAGTTCTATACTTTAAGAGGACTGTTTTCAACTTGGTATCAGAGCAAGTTAGAGCTGGGCGTGACCCTCATGTGGTTCTAGTCAAGCCAACTGTATGAGAATGTTCTAGGGTTGGAAGTTTAAAGTCATTCGCCTATTTCTTGGAGGTCATTGGAGGGTGCCCAAGTCTCTACACACTTGGAGAATAGTTCGGTGACCAGGAAGAATCAAAGAGCAAGGTGTTCGGCCTGATTTGAAATCAGAGAGAGAGGTGTTCGGCCTGGTTTGAAGTTCAAATCAGAGATTCACTTACTGTAAGTTATCTCAGTTATTGTTGGGTTATTTTCGTTGCTTGGGAGGGCTATTAAAGTATTCGAAACCCTCCATTCTGCCCTACTGTTCGGCAGTTGCTGGACTGATTCAACTCAGAGATTTTTGGGTTATTTTGGAGTGCAGTTCGGCTGTTGTTGGACTGTCAAATTGCTGAAACTGATTTGGACTCAGTGATACTAGTCTAAAATTCTGTCCAGCCTTTGTTTTTGGACCTATACGAAACATTATTGAAGTGGTTCCTACTAGTTAACAGTAGGGTGTTAACTACTGCACACAGAGTGTTTGTCAAAAGGCCTCTTAAGGACTGTGGGCTGTTATTTCTTCTCTTTGGGACAACGGTTGTTGGGGACCTGAAATACTTTGTGTTTGGAGGACTGTTGGTTGCCCCTTTAAGGCTGAAATAGTATTTCTTACTCTAGAAAGTGCTGCCACCGAGCTGGACTGTCACGGTTATCAAGACTGAACTGTTTTTGTGAGCTGGTTGTTGTTGTCGATTCAGCTCAAACTAAGTTCAGCAAGATTCCCTGTACCTTGGAAAACTTATTAAAAGTTGAAAACAATCCTCTTGAAGTATAGGACTGCTTGAGATTAGATGCAAAACCCGAAAAATGAACAAGAGAAGATTAAGAAGTTGAGAGAGAGAGAGRGAGCTGGCGGCAATGAGAGTTAGAGAGTGAGAGGTTTGAACTAAACCTCCCTCTAACACTCTAAACATTTTATTAAGTTAATCTTTGAAATATTACAGAGAGGCTCTTGAGTGGGTAAGAAATTACAAGCACAGAACATTACAGAGTATGGGCCCAGAATAAGGCCCATTACAGAGGGAAACATAAACATAACATGAAATAACAGTTTATGGGCCATTCGGTCCATCTCCTCTACAAAACCCTAATTGGAGCCTTTGCATGATGGATTCCTCGGATCTTGAAAGCAAGAGTGCTGCTGAATATGGACAGACTTTGGGAACCCCAGCCGATTCTATGTTGGCTGTAACTATAGTTAAACTTGATGGGACCAACTACTTGGCATGGTCACAATCAGTGAAAATTCATATTTGTAGCAGAGGAAAATGGGGGTTTATGTTTGGGAGCAAGAAAGCTCCCCCAGAGGATGATCCATCTTATGAGAGATGGATGCAAGAGAACTACACAGTGATTGGGTGGCTTGTGAATTCAATGTAGCCACAGATTAGTCAACACTATCTTTGGATGAACTCGGCTAAGGAATCTGGGATAGTGTTGCAGAAACCTATTCCTAGAAATTGAATGTTGCTAGAGCTTATAAACTGATGAGTGATGTGAAGAATCTAAGGCAGGGGGAGAAATCACTTGCAACATACTTCTCAACCCTGAAATCTCTATGGCAAGAGATTAATCTGATAGAGGCTGTGACATGGGATACCCCCAATGATGCTGAAACATATAGGAAATTAGTTGAAAGGAATAGGGTCTTTGAGTTCCTAACAGGGCTGAATCCTGAATATGACATCACAAAGCAGAACATTTTGTCCAAGGAAAGTGTTTCATTGTCACAAGCATATGCTTTGGTCAGCAGTGAAGAGAGTAGAAGGCGAGTACAGGTTCAAGGAGTCAGCATCAATGATCATTTTGCAAATATGGGGGTTAAACCTAAAAGGGTTATAGGAGCTCCCAGTGGCACAAGAAAGAAGGAGGTGGTCTGTGAATATTGCAAGAAGCTGAAACACACCAAGGACAAGTGCTGGAAATTGCATCCCAGTCTTGTCCCTATCCGATTCCAGAAGAAAAATGATAGTAGAAAGATAGAGTATATAGGAGTATGGGCCCAGAATAAGGCCCATTACAGAGAAAAACATAAACAAAACATAACATAGAATGACAGCCTATGGGCCATTCGGCCCATCTCCTCTACAGCCATCAATGAGTGCATTATTGATTGAAGGAAAAGAAATGCAATCCCATGATATGGAAAGATATCAAGAAGCAAAAAAAGAAAAAGAAATACGCCAACAGAAAGGTCTCCAGATTCCCTCCTTGTCAAGTCTATCAGCTACTAATTTGGTAGATTTTGCAATCCTTCAGAATTCTGGGTAATGGGTTCATTCTTTTGAGAAGGATTTCACTCTCTAATGTCAATAATGTAGCGACTTAGCTTGTAGAGGGACTGGTTCAACGTCCACCAATCATAATCTAGAAGTACAGTCTAAGGTCCTGAATGGGGGTTTTCAGTATTGTTAGCAGATGGAACTAAAAGTACTTTCGTGGAATGTTAGGGGTCTGAGGTCAGGTAGGAGAAGGTTGGTGATTTGCAATTTGCTAAGAAGGTGGGAGTCGGATGTAGTGTTCTTTCAGGAAACAAAATTGGAGGCAGTAGATGCAGGTGTAATCATAAGTGTTTGGGGTCAAGGCCAAGTGAGGTGGGTGACTGAATCAGCTAGAGGGACAACAGGGGGTCTCTGAATCCTTTGGAATTCTTCAAAATGCAAACTGGTTTCTTCTCTTGTTGGGGAGTTTTCAGTCTCAGTGGTTCTGGAGTTTGAGGGGGGCTTCCAGGGGCAGCTCACAAATGTCTATGGTCCAACTGTAAATTCAGAGAGAGAGAGAGAGAGAGATTGTGGGAGGATCTGGCTGAGGCCAGAGGTGGGACCTCTTTACCTTGGGTGATTGGAGGGGATTTCAATGTGGTGAGATTTCTGGAGGATAATAAGGGAGGAACCTGTAGATCTAGGGAAATGAGGAGATTGGCAGATTTTGTTAATCAGTTTGAAATTCTTGATCTTCCGCTTGTAGGGGCCCAATCAGGAGAACCCAGTTCTGGTAAAGTTGGACAGATTCTTGGTCTCTCTTGGATGGGAGGATTCTTTTCAAATCTAAAACAGGTTGCTCTCCCTAGGCCGGTCTTTGATCACTCTCCTATACAGCTGGTCTGTGGAAATCAGAGGACAAGGAAAGTTCCTTTTAAGCTTGAAAATGCTTGGTTTGAAGGGGCTGGTCCATCTGCTTTCTTCCAAGTGGTCAGAAGCTCAGCTTGAAGGAACAAGCTCTTTCATTTTTGCAAAAAAACTTAATCTTATTAAAGATTGTCTGAAACTCTAGAAACATGAATCCAAAGGTGGCGTGGAGCTTGAAAAGAGGTTGTGTCTAGAAGTTATCAAGTGGATTTTGGCTGAAGAGAGGGGTCTTTTGTCAGAAGTGGAAAAAATAAAGAGGGCAGAAGCTAAGCTGAAACTAGACAAGCTAGTCTATAAAGATGAGTTGAAATGGAGACAAAGAGCTAAAGTTAAATGGCTTAAAGCAGGGGACAAAAATTCTAGTTTTTTTTCCATAAGATGGCAAATGCAAGGCAAAGGTTCAATCAGTTGGAGAGGTTGGAATTAGATGGTGAGGTGGGAGAAACTTGGACAGATATGACATATGAAAAACATTGACACGAGGTATTTTTCAGATTTGTTTAAAGAAAACTGGAATAGAAGACCCCTCCTGATCAATCTGACTTTCAAAAGGCTTTCAGAGGAGCAACAGAGGGAGCTAGGAGCTCCTTTCTCAGAGGAGGAAGTGTGGCAAGTGATTAAAAATTTAGAAGTAGATAAATCTTCAGGGCTGGATGGTTTAACTAACTTATTCTACAAGAAATGTTCGGAGGTGGTGAAGGGTGATCTGCTGAAAGACTTATCTGAAAGATCTTGGCTAAGGTCTTTTGGCCAATTAGTTTATTAAAGAGTTGCTATAAGATCTTGGCTAAGGTCTTATCTGAAAGACTTAAGAAAGTCTTAGATTCAGTGATATCAAAAAATCAGTTTGCTTTTGTGCCTGGTGGGCAAATGCTAGACAGTGTGCTGGTGGCTAATGAATTGATAGCTTCAAGGAAGGAGGGCAGGCTGGGTTTGTTATGCAAGCTAGACTTGGAGAAAGCCTACGACCATGTGAATTGGAAATGTTTGGACTTTGTTCTGGAGAGCATGAATTTTGGTCAGAGATGAAGAAACTGGATAAAGGTATGCATTACCTCTCCAAAATTTTCAGTCTTAGTGAATGGTTAATCAGCAGGATTCTTCGAAAGTACTAGAGGCCTTAGACAAGGGGATCTCCTTTCCCCTCTTCTTTTTATCTGTGTGGAGATCTTAACTACTTTTGTGAATAGAGTAGGTAAGTTGGGCCTGTTGAAAGGTTTTGAATTAAGCCTGGGGGAGAAAGTCCAAAAGTCCAGCTGCTCCAATTTTCTGATGACACTCTTTGCTTCATTGATGCAGAAGTAGATCAACTTAAAATTCTGTTAGGGGTTATGAGCTGGTTTGAAGTGGTTACAGGGCTGAGAGTAAATTGGTCTAAGAGTAGATTAATTCCAGTGGGCAGGATTGAGAATCTTGAATCTCTTGCTGAGGTCCTAGCCTGTCAAATTGGATTTCTGCCTACCATAGTACCATATACCTTGGTTTGCCTCCAGGAACTAAGTGTACTTCATCTTTGATTTGGGATCCGGTGGTGAAAAGGCTGGAAAGAAAATTAGCCTCTTGGAAAGCGAAATATTTAACTTTGGGAGGTAGTATCTCTCTCCTCAATAGATCCATTTCAAATCTGCCCTCTTATTCTCTCTCTCTCTTCGCTATTCCAACAAAAGTGGCCCAGAGGGTGGAAAAACTCCAGAGAGTTTTTTTATGGAAAGGTTGGGATGAGGAAAAAAGAATTCACTTGGTCAGTTGGGATGAAATTTGTTCTCCCAAAGGAAAAGGGGGGTCTGGGGATTAGAAAGCTAAAAATATTTAATAAAGCCCTCCTTGGAAAATGGATCTGGAGGTTTGGGACAGAGAAGGATAGCTGGTGGAGGAAACTACTTGCAGCTAAATATGGCACTGATAGAGGTGACTGGATAACTAGCTCTAGTGTTAATTCCCTAGGTGCTCCCTTTGCAAGAAGATCATGGATTTGTATCATTTGCTGAATAGGGGTCTGGTTCTGAAGGTGGGAAATGATCAGCGTTTAAAATTTTGGAAAGACAATTGGTATTCAGAAAGGTCTTTGGCAGAGTTTTTTTATTTTTTTTTATTTTGATAAATAAGATGAGCTCTTATTAGACTTTAAGATAGACTTTACAGGCATCCCTTAGAGAGGCACGAGATGCTACCTCTCTATAAAAAGCAAAGAGCAAAGAAAATTACAATGGAGCCCAAAACAATACATTCATCCCTTGCAAAGAAAATTACAATGGAGCCCAAAACAATACATCCCTATTCACCCCTTGCTTAGCCAAAGCATCAGCCATTCCATTTGCAGATCTCCTCACCTACTGTATCCTGAGATTCATATTCCTAGTAAGCTACTTAAACCTTTTCATTTCATTTCTGTAGCACCAGGTTATAGAGTCCGGGTCCTTTAGCCAGCCCACCACCACTTTTGAATCCCCTTCTATCACCAAATTTGCTAACTGTAACTCATTGGCAATCTGCACCCCTTGTAATGCTGCCAGCAACTCTGTTTTGAGAGAGTCACCCAAGCCCACGGGGCTGGAAAACAATGCTATAAGTTTACCTTCTGAATCTCTCAATACCCCTCCTATACCCGAGGGGCTGCCCCCCGTTGTGTATCCCTTCAAAAGAAATGAAAAAAAAAACTTCATCCTGTTCTTTTCTCTAATAGGAAAGGGAGTAAGCCTACCATATTCTCGAAATAGACAAAATAAAGAAGGAAAAGAAAAATAAAAAAAGGATCCAAAAATGATCCAGATTATCCATGGCTGCAGAGGTCCCCCACTTTTATTTGGAAATTGTTTTGAATATTCTATATATAGTTAAGCAATCACTACTGAGTATTCTTGTTTATGCCCATCCGTAATCTATTATGCTACTACATAAAATGGGAAATTGGATGCTTGTCTTACAATTTGCAAATTGCATGTTGTGACAAATTCTCAATGATTTTCCTTAAATTCTCATGCTTAATCAACCTAGAAATTGTTCTATACTTTCTGAGGCATGAAGATACATTTGTTTCTGAATAAGGATATCTGAGGTCTGGTCTGTTAACATATTGATGGGACACATACTGGGTGGAAGGGGAACCTACTTAGTAGATCTTTGGCCATATAGTTTGTTATCTTACACAATTGCAGAATCTCAATTTGGACATATTGTTGTTATTTCTGGTAATGTAGTTATCTATGCTTGACAGATAAGAGGGTATGGTTTTTGGCCTGGGCACAAGCATGCCTTCAATTCTCCGTTGCAGTCTTCTGGATTCTCTGGGCACCGACTATAGTGGTGCGCTTTTTACTTGCCAACTAGAATTTGATAGAATATGTTCTGAACTCCGGTGACTGATATTTTTCTTAATTCTTTGCATTTTGAAGATGCATCAAGTAGAAGCATGCAACTAGGTTGGTAGAGGCTTGCCTTATTTGTCCTTGCAGCTTCGTATTAGAAGTTAAGTGTTATGCAATATTTTGCTTTATGTTTCACCTATATACAAAGCTACTGGGATGGATCCATACTTACCTCATATATAAACAGGAGATTGTTTTAAGAACATGTCCAAAATCTGCTAGATAATTCCCTCAGCTACTTGTGGAGTAAAGTTTTGCAATTCTAACCATCCATATGAAAAATGAATTTCTGATTGGCTATATTCTGTTATGATTTTTTTTAGATCATTAATTTGATTTTTAATGAATTGGGGATCTTGGGTTTAAACTTATCAAATGAGGAGAAATTGATATTGCAAATTGATTAGGTATGATCCATAATACTATTCAAAATACCTTTTGGGACGTGATGATCGTAAATCCTGTTCCATTTTCTATTTAGATTTAGGAAAACCAGAATGTTAGTTTGTCAATCCATATATGTTCAAACCCTCTACTGGTCTAGCATCCCTGCTTTGGCTTCAATTTCACTTGGATAATCCTCTAGGGAGAAATTTCAGACGCTATGTGTCAATTTTATATCATGCATAATCAGATGAAAATAAAATCCAGAAAAGCCTAATGATGATATTTATAACTGCTCACATGTTCACAACCTCTTCCTGTTTAGCTTCCCTTGAGTTGCCAATTTTCATTTGAATAGTCCTCTAAAAGATAGATTTCAATGTCACTGGTATCGTTGAACCACATTCAGGTGTATTCTTTGAGATCTTAGATTGAGATTTTTTCGTTGCAAAAAAAAAGCACCTTTGCCTTTTATGTTATTCTTCTATCGTATGTGGTTTGAATGAAAAGAAAAACCGGAAGAAAATTTCTTGGACTCTGCCTAATCTTTTCTTGGCTTGTCAGCTTTGCAATGTTTTGTAATTATATGCTACTCACAATGTTTTATCCTGGTTCCAGGCAGATGGCCGAGAAGTAAATCTAGGGATGATATATCCATGTCTTCTGGGTGCAAGAATGCTTGGGAGCACAACAGTTCCTTGGTTCTTTAGTGGACCATCACCTGTTCGAACAGAGGATTGCCTGCTTTTTGCATTCCTTACCTCAGGTTTTGTCTTGTCTATAGTTGCTTATGATTATCAGGTATTTCTGCCATAAATCATAGATATAAAAACATGATCTAGTGCTGGAGCTAGGTGTATGGAAGTCTAAGCATTGGAATTATGATTTGCAGGATATTGGGTTTTTGGTAACTCTCTTTTGCTTGTTCCATGCCTGTGTTGGCCTGATTTTACCTTCACTTGCAAGATTGAGGACCATGTAAGTTATATTAGAATTTCTCTTTAATACCCTTTTGGATATCACCAGTAGTGTTTCTTATAGGGAGGGAATCTGATATCAGGCCTCCTAATATTGTTTTTACAGGTATATACCAAATGAGCTGCGTGGGGGGATGATAAGCCTGTCTGCTGCTCCTGCAAGTGCAGTGGTTCTGCTTGTTCTGATCCAAGTGTGTGGCTTTTTACCCTAGAGGAATACTCAAGGATAGGAGGCATGGAGGAAGGAAAAGTACCCAAACAATTCTATATAAATTGAATCTTTGCATGCATTTTAATCCACCAAGTGATGGATCTATTTAGTGTCTTTGACATTTCTGAGGCAAAAAGGTTCAATTTTATTGGTGGTTCCACCTTGCTGATCTACAGGGCCATAAAGGCCTATTGGATTGCCATAACAATCCATTTAATAGCACAAAAAAGATGATAATCATCTAGAATGATGTCTATAAACTAGGCAGTTGGGATCCACTGATCAAAGAGAAGCTTTCTTTTGGCCCTGGAGATCTCCTGTGAAATTTTTAACTTAACAAGTGCATTTCATTTTCCTTTATGAGATGTGTAAAGAATGACTTCTTCCTGCTCCTGTCCCCATGCTCCTCCCAGTATTGCTTATTTTACGTCTTTCAGCCATAGCACTTATGAGATGAGACTAAACGAAGTACTTGGCCTGGTTGACTCATTTGTTTTATTGCAGAAAGGATATTACCAGAACATTGGGAATGCGGTTGTCATGGCATTTGCTGCTTTTGGGTTGTTCACTGCAGCTGGTTGCATGCATCTGCTGAAGAGGTGGGGAAAGCAACCTCACCATGATGTACATAAATTGTAAGTTTGTATTGTTCTCCAGACTAAGCCTTTGATGCCAGAAGTGGCCTGAAATTCTGGGTTCATGCTTTCTTATTATTTGTTGTTTACCAGAGGCTGAGGAGAACGAGTGGGGTAAAAGCTGGAAAATTATTTTTGCCCAAAAAGGTCAAGAAGAAAAAATGGTGTACATACCAGTATATTTCTAATCAAATTTAGAAGCGCAGGTAACTACAAGCATCTACTTCATGTGATGATTTCTTATGCATGGTTTGCTAACTTCATCCCCAATAGTGGGAGGCTAGAGAAGAGCATTGTGAAGTGTGTACTTTTGTGCCAGCAGGACAACCAATTTATGCCAATTGAGGAGCTTCCAGAACAGCTTTCATGCTGAGTGTACATATCGTACTTTTTGACTCCCAAGAGGCCATTATGAGTTATGACGTTCTTCATTGATCAGAAAACTTGCACTGGACTTATCAGCCTCTATGTGACCATTTCTTTTGTATTTACCTACTCTATTAATTTTTGTTCTGCACCCCAAGCTCTTGGGAGTAGAGCAGCCCACTTAGTGATTGTTAGAGCTAATTACTGTAGAAACTGTTTATATGCATGAAAAACAGAGGCCTAGATAATTTGTCAGTGCATCTGAGTCCTCTGGCTTGGTGTTGAGTGAATGAAAATTTGCTTAAAATGCTAATAGCAATTAATTATCAAAGAAGCATTGTAGTCTGTGAACGTTTCACACTTGGGCTAAAAAATGTCACATCTGAAGGCCACCGTAAACTTTTACTGAAAATCTTGCATGAACTGGGTGCAAAATCTACAGCCTGCAACATTTAGAGAAGTATAGGTATTAGAAAGAACATTGGATAGGTAATATTAAGATTTGTATATGGATACCCTTTTGATATGCATGGCGTGGATATGGTAGAATGATTAGTATACATGGATACATTAAAAGAACCGTCTTATAAATGCATCAATAACACTAAATCTGAGGGGACTAATATACATGGATACGTTAAAAGAACTAAGTCTTATAAATGCATCAATAACACTATCTGAGGCTCAAATAACTAAGGTATAAATACGTACTACGTAGGAAAACATATTTTTAATAGTTCTATGTGAAATGTGAATTACCAATGTCTTTACATGGTAGCCACAAAGTTCTATGTGAAATGTGAAATTGTGATTTACCAAGGTTTAACAGCATCAAACATATTTTTGATTCTAACATATTTTTGATTCTGCAACCTTCATTTCTACAATATCAACCCTTATCATCAGTGTATTTATGGTTAGAATTCCATTCATAATTTATTTTTTTTCTATTCTATTAAATGCTTATCATTACCATCAAGTGTCGATAACAAAAAAAAAAAAAAAAAGAATGAAAAAGGATATGGTAACAAATTCTTAGAAGACCAAAAACAGAAATCTAAGTTGGGGAAAACAAGGAGTATGTCACGTTCTTTGAAGTTCTATTGTCAATGCACCGCTTTGCATGAAAAGTTTGAACCTCAAATTGTAGCATATTGTAATACTATGGATGGTTCATGTTCGGTGGATGCCCAAATAACTGGGGCAGTACCTAAGACAACAAATATAGAAAGACATAGTACAGATTGAGTGCACTCAACAGGCATCTCATATCCATAATCATGTCTTGTGTGAACAATGAGCATTTTCATCCCTATTCCCTCGGAAGAAGAAAATAAGGAAAATGGTTAAATGCATCCAACATAATTTCTGCACATCTTAGCAGCATATTCATTTCATGTAAGATTCTAATGAGTCAATCTGTAATGTCATCCTGTTACGTAGTATGCACCCTTCGGCTCTTTCGTGGGCTATATTTGACAAGTTTGGCTTCAGTCAGGGCAAAGTCGGTTCGAGCACCCTTTACTGCCTTGCATTGAGAATATTTTCATACTTGTATGCTTTATTTTATGAGAAAATATTCATAATTCAAGAGTGAAAATGGCTGTTAAAACGGTGTGGGTACAGCTTTGCCCTGATAGAAGCCGATCTCATATTCGACCAGGTTGAACGCATCAAAGTGGGCCATATTCAACCACTCAACCACTCTCCAACAACTTCAGAGATTAGGGATTCCTGCAAGTCATTCAATTGGCAAACCACGACTTTTGCTGTTCTGCTTTACAATCCTTAATTTGTGTTTTTGATTTGATTGCCAATAGTCACCAACAGTAAAAAAATGCCATGAAGGTAAAGGTTTCACCAGGTATAAGGCAGAAGGCAGAGAAAGGAATAAGGGGAGATAGATTAAAGGCCATCACACAATGTTGGTCCCAAGCTCCCAGCTATCTGGGATGTTAGGATGGGTAGACTGGAATCACTGGATACAATCCTAACCCTTGACATTTTGTGCAGCTTTCAAAAATCATGTCTCACTCTTGCAGTCTGAGATTTTACCATTACACTGATGATTCTTCGTTTGATTTTTTTTAAGTGTAAAAATAAAGTATAGATGGAGAGATCATGATTTTTGAACGGCCGTGACCCGGACAGTCAGACCGTTTGGCCTAGGAATCATCTAAGCAGTTGGTTCCATTTTACCCCAAACCCAGTCCTTAGCCAAAAACTATGTCCTCACTCTTGCAGTCTGAGATTTTACCATTACACTGATGATTCTTCGTTTGATTTTTTTTTAAGTGTAAAAATAAAATATAGATGGAGAGATCATGGTTTTTGAATGGCCGTTGATTCAGACGGTCGGACCGTTCGGCCTGGGAACAGTCTAAGCAGCTAGTTCTATTTTACCCAAAACCCAGTCCCTGGCAAAAAATCGTTGAACCAGTTAACGATCCGTTGACCCAGGCGGTCAAACCATCAGGGGTGGAGCCTTTATATAATTGAGTCATCGCGGGTTTTGCGGATCGGTTCCGATATCATCGTCACGATAGGATCCGTTTCCGTGTAAGTTGGAAGATAATGCTGCCAACCAATAAGGTTCAACAATTCTGCCCTAATCGGGCGGGGAGATAATGCTAGCTGTTATGCGGCGTGATCCCGTGAGGCCCGGGATTCGTTGGAGGGGTTTTCGGGATCACCACGTAGTGGCATTTCAGTATCCCCGAGCTGATGTCTTTATGTCCCGAACTGGGTTGAGTGCCGAAGTGCCTTGGCATCGAGGTGTTCTTGTTGCGATCTAGTACCGAGGCGATCTCGTCTCGAGGTGGCCTTGTCCTGAGGTCACTTTAGCCCGGGGTGGTTGGGTACCTGAGCTCAATCTGCTGCGGACTGGTTATGATAAGCTGAGTTGTCATATCTTGGTCAGGTCGTGTTCACGTGTCCCCTCTTTACTAGGGCCAAATCACCTTTCATCAATTGTCCTCCACTCCCCGAGCCAGGGGTCCCAACCCGGTGCGGGGAGTTCATGACGAGACAAGTGGATTTGGCCCGAGGTCTGGGCGGTTTGTCGGACGAATCGCTGGTCAGACCTGTTCGGCTATCCGGCTCAACTAGGAATAACCCAGGTCGCATCTGATTTACGCATGGACGTCACGCGACCTGGGTCACGCAGCCGGTTTTCCTAGGTGCCGTTGGATTGCTTCAATCTCGATCGTTGATTTTCGGACATACCGGCAATAAATAGGGGGCCCGAGACTCATTTGCTTCGCCACAAATTCACACATCTTCGTTCTGAGGTCACGTTCAAGCTTCTTAGCTCGGTTTCTCCAGTCTGGTGTCTTCTTTCAGTTCGGTCTTCTTCTTGGTGAGTCTTCCCTATCTTTCCTTTCTGATTCAGTTCTTTTCCATGTCTAGTTTTAGCTTTGATAGTCTCTTAGATGAGCGTAGTGATTCCGTAGGGGCCGAGATGGGTACCTTGGCTCAGGTCGTAGATCGCCCCACCGAAGAAGTTACTATGGGTCAAGGAGCGGTCCGCGGTCCTCTCAAGGTGGAATCACCTCGGGAGGCGCGAGAGGCCTCAAGTGGTCTGGCATCCACCTCGCATCGAGGTCGGCAGCCAGACAACTTCGGTCCATCGACGATGACAACGGACAGGCTCCAGACCTTAGTAGCTCGGTATAGGCTTCCGAGCGACCTTGTATATAGCCTTCCCTTAGGTAATTTTCCCTGGGAGCATGGTCACGGCGAGATCGTGATCTTCGAGGAACAACTCGTAGCTAGCCTTCGTCTGCCACTTCACCCCCTGATCGTAGAGGTCATAAAACTCTTCAATATCACCATAGATCAGTTACATCCGAACCCCATTCGTAACGTAGTAGGAGCCATCTCGCTCTTCCATGACTATAACCTACCCCTTGACCTCGACATCTTCTCTTGTATCCTTTCAATAAGAAAGAATGCCTCCTGCGTCCTACCCGAACACAGGCGGACTTACTACTTGTCCCCTAGTCCGGGCTACAAGCTCTTGCACGAACTCTCGAATAAAGTCCCGACCTGGAAATGAGGCTATTTTTTGGTCCGTAACACTGAGGGGTGGCCTTTCCTGACCCACTAGAGGGCGACCATCCAAGATCCCGGTGTCAGATTGGACTTGAAGACAAGGGAAGCGCTCCAGTCTTGGGCGGAGCTCGGTCTCAAGTTCGTGGACTACGTGACCGAGGACAAGCTCATGTAGGCCGGTCTGAGTCCTGGTAGGTCGTTACTTGTGTTGCCTTTGTTTCATTTTGATACTGTTTTTGACGCTTTTCTCTTGTTACAACAACTATGAAACTTCCTGCGAACGAGCTCCTTGGAAGGATGAAGGGGAAGAAGAAGCGAGTTGTCAAAAGACCTCACGTTGAGTCTCTACAGGCTGTTGTCCCTGAGCCCAAACAGCCCTCCACTGCGCAACCTCTAGTGATCGATCTGGTCGAGGAGGAACCAGGAAGGGTCTCCCCGCCCCGTGCGCCCGAGGAGGCATCTTCGGAGCTCGCCCCTGCGGCTGCCACTTCTTCGAGCAGCGAGGAGGCAATTCGGAGCATCCTAACTCTGAAGTACAGCCTTCTCAAGAGTAAGAGCGCGGTATACGCCGAGGAGGTCGCCAATTGGGCTGAGCTGTCGGTCGCGCAGCTCGGAGCTCGAGCGGCTACTCACTGTATGGTGGTAAGTTGTCTTTACTTCTTTAATTTTGTACTTGGAGAGCTTTTCTTGTACTAACTGCTATTCTTCTCTTGGCAGGTGAACTCCGTTGTGCACGCTCTGACATACCAGTCCGAACTGCACCCGAAGTGAGCTATTGCAGCTAAGTCCTCGTCTCACGAAGCTCACGCCGAGCTGAATCTGGCCCGCAACGAAATCAACCAGTTGAAAAACGATGCACAAGCTCAGAAGGAGCTGATATCACTATTGATGTTCGAGAAGGAGGAGCTCGCGAGGGAGAAAGCGGCGTTGAAGCGGGAGGTGGAGAACCTCGAGGCCCATGTCAAGGAGCGAACTGAGATACTCCTCCAAGCAGTGGAGGAGGCCAAGGCCAAGGCCGTCGAGGAATACAAGACCTCGAAGGAGTTCCACAGAGAGCTGATCGAGGTGGGGATGGAAGGCTACTGCAAGGGCTTTAAGCTTAGCAGGTGGCTGACCCGAGGTGAATTTTCGTAGCTTGATCTAAGCGCCATCACCACCTCAAGGGTCACAGATGAGATGGTTGTCGAAGCTGCCGAAGATCCAGACT